TTTGTACTCCTTCCCTGTCTTGACATTTACAAACCCCCCCCTTCCCAACCCACCCTCCAGTTATACTCCAAACAGTAACTCCCAAGTTTTCATATTTGTGCAGCAAAGCGCTTCACCAACAGCCACAAAATTGTGCAAAACATACAACCATCCACACACATCCATACACGTGAAGACCATTTTAAGCACTGTTTCAGCATGCAGGCCTCAAACAATAAATAGCTCAATCTATAACAAACTTCTTAACAGCCAAGGGAAAGTTTAAAGTCACTTATAAATAGAAAAGAACATCCACCAAATGCCTACCAACAATGGCCCCATTGTTCAGAACCTTCCTGGGGGGCACAACCCCTCAGAGATTAGTGGAGAGTCCAGGGGTCCTCACTCTGCGGCCAGCCAAGCCAGCTCCCCTCCTGGCCCCACAGTTGGGCTTTCAATCTCCAACAGCAGCTGGTGTGGAGGCTTCAAGCTTGCTCCTCGGAGAGAGGTGACAACCATTTCAAATTTTACACATAAATGGTGGAGCCCATGGAAATCAAATGCTGAATATGGTACAGCAAGGGAAAAGGCCCGGCTTTTCTCTCCCTTTGAGGGGCTGATTAACGCTGACATTAATCCACAATTACAAGACAAGGACTAGATCACAGGTTCATCCATTCATATTTAAACCATGTGCTACTTGCACTGAAAATCCCACCCCCTCCCCCACCCCCTCCTTCATGTCCAGTTAGAGCATTTACAAGGTGCAGTGGATTGTAATCGAGTCTTGTAGCAACTTCTTTTCCTTTTTCTTTTCTTCCTCCTCATTAAGTTTGGCCTCTCCAAAGTCGAAATCTTGGTTTTCTCTCGCCAAGTGATGGAGTGAGCTAAAACAGAGGGAACGAAAGGATTCTTGTTAGTAGCCTCGAAATCTACAAAAAAGGTAACATCAGGACAGAGCCGGTCAATATTGCTTCTAAAGGTCTTAAGTACTTGTTCAGTAGCAAGTGTGCAAGGATAAAGCGCTTGCCTTCGATGCACACGCATGGGGTGTGCACGGATACGGAAGACTAGCTGAACAGACACAACGGTGCCCAAAGAAAAATCTTCATTTCTCTACTAAACCTTAAACGTGTGTATGTTCAAATACAAACTTATATACGTCCAGGTGCTGTTATGAGTTGCCACCTTCCGCTTCCAACATTCATAATTCATCTCCATGGTTAAGCAGAGCCACTGTGAAGCGATCGGCCGAGGGTCAAAAAAGATTCTTGGGCAAACCCTCCTTGGCCCATTTCCCACAAAGGATCCCCAAATCAATTTATTCACCATATAGAAGGCAGACATATTAATCCTCTTATTTAAATGCATCTCTGCTATTCATTACGGCAGAAATCAGTCTCGCTTCCTTTCACACGACTAATATACCAGGCCTCCACAGCCCAAGGCTGGGAGTTTATTCTCCACGTTCATCAGTCCACACTTGGGAGACGCCAGCTATGGCATGCACTTATGATCTACAGACTACCGACGTCAAGCGTGAATATAAATTCAGGGAGCCATAACCACAGAGGCCGCACATTGCACAGGAGCCGCTATCTCCTCACACAAGCCGCCATCCCCACCCGCTGTATCCAATTTTATAGATACGGGGAAAATTCTGCACAGGGTTTTTGTCTCTCAAACACTCGCCCTATCTGTTCAGAGAGCGCATTTCCAGCACCAGTGGAGGAATCCCATTCCTGCTGCTAGAACTCTAAGTGCACACAAAGGGAGCGCAGGAGGGGCTGCTCATTACTTGCCCTGAATTCTTCTCGCTTTTGTGTGCTCAGAAGTCTGATGCATTTCGTTAGTTGTTTCTTTTGGCAGTTTCATAACCGTGATTCAAGCTCTCAAGGCATTCCTTAGACTACAGAGTCATCCTTCTACCCCACCTCCCAGTAACCTATAGATCAACATTCGGCCAGAAGAATGTATCTTGTAATAACACGACACTTCACGATGCTGCATACTCAAATAGGGAAGGGGAAGAGGAAGGGGAAGGGAAAGGGAAAGGGAAGGGAAAGGAAATATCTAAACAAGGAAGAAATAAATCAAAATCCAAAAGCTGTCACGTGTCAGGCTGGGGCCACACAGCACCATGAAAACGGGAGAGTAATCAAAAGTAATTTCCTGGGGCGCCCGGGGGGCTCAGTCGGTTGAGCATCCGACTTCGGCTCAGGTCATGATCTCACAGCTCACGAGTTCGAGCCCCGCGTCGGGATCTGTGCTGACAGCTCGGAGCCTGGAGCCTGCTTCGGATTCTGTGTCTCCCTCTCTCTGTGCTCCTAACCCACTCGCATTCTGTCTCTCTCAAAAATAAATAAACATTAAAAGAAAAAAAAATTTTTTTTACGTAATTGCCTTTTTGTCCTTCCCACCCACTGACAGAGCAGCAGGAGAGTAAAATCCCCTTGGTGAATGAGCTTTTAGACCTAGGGAAACTTCTTGTTAACACTGTATTAATTCGGTTAGCACCTACACTTGGAGATCAAAGAGATGTCCCGGAAGTTTTGGCAGTTTAGGGCTGATACCTACACAGCACCTCTTTTAAGTCACTCCATGGAGCTTAAGTGTTTTAACACTATCTTGTGTGTAGAAAACTCGAGAAATTTAAGCCAACATTCTCCCTATCGGAAACCGCAAGGGTGGCTTTGAGCAGGCTCACGCCGCCCTTTAAAAAGGCAAACCGGGCCCTGTCAGATTTCGTTGTTGTGGGCTGGACTCCGGCTGGGAGCACCAAGGGTGGGTAGGTGTTTCACATATGACCTAACACTTTATTTGCTCGTTTCCCAGGGACCGGAAGTATGTGCTTAGGTTCAAATACCCAGGATAGGGTGAATTCAAGTGTTTGCCAACATACTCTGGGCTGAGAAAGGAGGCACCAAAAATGAAGTACAAACATTCCAATCAGATAATGGTCAAACTCCACACACAAAGCTAATTCCATGACAAGCTAAGGTCTAAATTGAAGGAGGAAACAAAGCTAAGAGTATTGAACACCTGATATATGCCAGGCACTGGGCAAGGTATTTTCTCTCCCTTCCCCCACCCCTTATCAATTCACCCAAGTCTGGGGACAGAGCTAGGAGAAGCCTCATTCAAATCACTCATTTGACAAAGGAGGGATCCGAAGTACAGAAAGGTCTAGACACCACAGCTTAGAGCCAGAGCCAGAATGCACATGTGGCCTCTTCCTGCCTCAGTTTCCTTACCTTGCTCCAAGGATGCCAGCCAATCGACCAGTCATCATTCTGATGTGCCACCACCATCACTGGCAATTTTTATGGCTCTCCCATGCAAACTTAGTCGGTTCCGGACTAACACCGAACTTGGCGTGCTGTTAATTGATGCTTTTGCCTAGAAGGTTCTTGAAACCTGCTTTAGACTTGAGTCATGCGCTCATATCGCAGAGGAAATAACCACATTCAGAGCATTTGTTTACTTAGGATTACTGAGATGCCAGCAAGGCTGCAAAAACCAGTTTGGTGTGGGACGCTGTCAGCCCAGCTCCCCACAGGAGGTTTCTGACTGTTCCAGCTCCTTTGAACAAACTTCATTCCAAGGTTACACTATATTATAAGAATTCTACTAACTGTAATGGGCTGGAGAGATAACTGAAGAGATGAAAAAGAAAGAAAGAGTAATTGTAAAAGTGAGGCCAACTTTAGTGATGTCTTAAAACGAGCTGTACGAAATGTGGAAAGAAAAGACAAATGAGTCAAAATCCCTCTTTGCTTTGCTCGCAAAGACTCCTTGATTTCCTTTTTTTCTCTTTGAAAGTCCCCTTCAAAAATGTGAAACATACTAGGGAAAACAGAGCCAAAAGTTTTCAAGGAATGAGTCAGTTTTCACTGTACTTCCTCCAAAGCAAAGTTTTGATTTTATTCTCTTACTATTAAGAACAAGCCCGTGAATTAGCAAAACAAATCAACAAAGTCCACGTATTCTGTGCTACACTTAGACATGGCTAAGTGGTTCCTGGGGCCAATACTAAGGATGCTTAACGGCAGCAAAGCGGCCATTAGCTTCACGAACGCTGAACTGTGTAGACCTATTAATTATTTGAGCCAAGGGTATTATATACTCTTAAGTACACAAGACGACCATTATGGACTCAGATATATGACACGGAAAGACAACTTTTGTTAGCCCTGACAATAGGCTCAGCCTGTCTGATTAACTCTGAAAGGCTGCAGTATAAGGCGGTCTAGATGGTTCAGTGTATCCACGCCGCAGACAAATTTATACAATGCAGGTGCAACTTTTTTACAAGGATAGACCTTGACTTCCCTCGAAAGCTAATAAATGCCTAAAGGGGGCTATTATTTTTTTTTTTTTTGAGGAAAAGAAGTTTTAAATAAGCAAACAAATAATATTGGAGAGAATGAACTACGAATAAATTTAAGCATTCGTTTTTTTACACCCTACTTCATTCCAGAAAAGGGTTTGAGGAATCTAAGTTTGGACGTCACCAAATATCTCCTGGAGTGATACCAATGTGAAGCTCAAGTTTATTAAGCAGCCTGGAGCCAAAGTGCCTGGGTTGTTTTCTCGACCAACTCCTCCACAGACTAAGCTCTATGACCTTGGGCAACTTACTTATTTAACCTCTGTGTGCATCAGTTGTTTTCATCTATAAAACGCTCTAGTAATAGTATCTCGCGACGTTGTTGTCAGGATGAAATGAAATGATCCATATGAAACACAGGCCGGGCTCCAGGCATACAGGGAGGGCTCATTAAGCATGGGTTGGCATCATTAACGTAGGTCAGGGGTTCTCAACCTGGCTGTGTATTAGAATCACTAGAAAACGTTCTAAAGGTGCTGAGGCCTGGGACCTACCCAGACCAAATGAAATCCAGTGTCCGGGATGGGAAGCTCTTGAAAAGCTCTCTGGGAGGTTCCTAGGCTCAGTCAAGGCTGAGAAGCACTGACTTAACGTCTTACCTCACGCTCGCTTCCTTCACGATGTCCCGCACCTAAGAAGGCAGATGTTTCCAGGTGCTGACAAATGCAGTAGGGATCAGCGAGTACGGGACCGTGGTTATGCTGTTCCACACATCTAACGTTGGATCATAGCAGTCCAAAGTCTTGCATCGCTGAATGCCAAAGTAGCCTCCAACCACGTAGAGTTTGTTTCCAGAGGCCACGGCGTGGCAGCTCATGCGCTTTGCCGTCACGTCTCCCACCTTGGTCCACTGGTAAGTCTCACTGTTGAATTTGTAAGCAGAGCAGGCGGAGAACTCTGTGTCTCCCCCCATAATGAAAATCTGGTTACCCAGCACAGCGGCCGCTGTGTAACGCCAGGGCTGGGGACAGGTGGCGGGTACCGTCCACCTGTTTTCACACTGATCGTAACACTGAACCTTAGGGAGCTTGTCATGACTGACGCTGGTACCTCCGAAAGCAAACAACTTGAGTTTGGCACTCACTACCGCGGCGTTGCTAACGCCTTCTCGGAGTGGGGCCACCATGGTCCATTTGTTGGTTGTGGGGTCATAGTGTTCTACCTGCTTTAGGGAGACTGAGGGCGAGGCCGGGAGACAGCCAGTCGCAGCCGTGTGCCCCCCAACCACATACAGGCAGTGCTTCAGTTCAGCAGAGCCGTGGCCAAACCTGGCCACCAGCATGGGGGCAGCTTTGGACCACTCTTCATGCAGGGTATCATAAACCCAGACATCTTTCGAGACCCCGTTTTCAGACCCCCGCCCCCCAGTAATGTACACTTTGCAGCCAATTGCACATGCACTGAACTCTTTTCTGGGGCTGGGGATGTCAGCCTTGGGAATTATTTCTTTGGCCTTCTGGTCTACCAGGTACAGCTTGTCACACATGAAGGTCTGGCCCCCCAAGAGGAAGAGGGCATGGCCAGTTTTCCGAGGCCGGGCACAGAGGCTGGTTACCACGCCGTCGTTCTGCAGGATTTTCAGTTTGCACCTGATGGCCTCTTCCACAATCTCCTTGCTCTTTCTCTGCTTGGTGATGAGTTCCTCCATGGCCACGTTCTCCATGAGATAAATGGCTGGCAGGAGAGCCAGCCTCACTGTCTGCAACAGCTCTGGGAGGTAGCAATAGCGTTTCTTCAGGTCATAGCTGATCCAGTTAATTGCAGACTCGTACACAAGCCTTTCATCTTCCGTCTCTAGCTCTTCGCTGGACAAGAGCTGCACCACCATGTCCTGGGGCAGCTGGAGGAAGTCTTCGTTCTTCCTGATGGTTTGGAAATTGCTGAGACACATTCTCCAGGAGAGTTCGTACAGCTTAGTGCACTGGTGCGCATCGGAGAGCAGCAGCATGCCCAGGCAGTTGGTGGGGTGCAGATTCTTTTCTAGGAACTCTGCGCATGCATCCCGGATGTCCTGAAACTCCAGCATGTCACCAGCTTCCAGGAGCGATTCCGCATTTTCTTCATTGATGATGACCCGGGAGGAGTACGCGTAGTCAAGCAGCAGCTCCAAAACCTCGGGGTGGATGGAGTTGTCGAAGTTGACCTCACTGTCCTGGCTCTCTTTCAGGCCGCCGCTGAACATGGCTTCAAAGTAGCGGCTGCACGCGGCCAGCACGGCCCGGTGACAAGGGAAGGTCCTATTTCCAGCATGGAGGAGGACATCCGTGAAGAGGCGCTGCTGGCGTAAAAGGTTCAAGTGCGTGAGGACGCTGTCCGCGTAGGAAGACTTGTGAAACAGATAGATGTTGATGGAGCCGCTGCTGGCCCTAGACTTGCGGTTCTCATGCACGCTGACTGACATTTTGTTTCCACTCCTAAAAACAAAACAAAACAAAACAAAACAAAACAAAACAGACCATTGAACAGCGATGCTCCTGAGGCTCAGAACAGCAGAACAAAGCAAAACAAGGAGTCGTGAACAGAGAAAACAGGACACTTCGCCACTGGTCTTACTGCCCACTGTTCTGAATAGTGGACAGTCACTCCTGTCCAGCGTCAGAGACGGCCACCTAGAAGGAAAGGCATTCACTGGAACACTGTTGAGCTACTGGAACACTGTTTAAAAAAAAAAAAAAAAAAAAAAAAAAAAAAAAAAAGCCACTGCTTGAAAGCAGGTTCGTCTTGGAAAACCTGACTGCCCACTTTCAGGATACTGAAGTCCTCGGGACTGTAAGTCAGCAAAACCCAGGCCTCACTCTCACACCTTCCTGTCCCTTGTCCAGCTGATTCACGCAGGCCACGTAAAATGCTGGGCCTCCAGCTCTCGTAACGCCAGGATGGGCACCAGCTTTTATGCCCTATGCAACATAAAGCCATGTGTAAAACAAAATACCTATTAATTAATCCCATTAAGAACTCCTTTAGTAAGATCCAGTCTCTCTCTGAATCACAGTCAATGGGAAACGTGACATTAAAATCATAGGCCTAGGCCAACTGCTACTATGATTGGATCTTTCTTTAAGTGTCACAAATAATTTCCAACCAGACAATTCTACCACTGCAGGGTCCTCAAAGAACACCAATATAAACATGACCAAGTACTGATGAGCAGGCTTTTGTGAAAACACAGAACAGATCCTGGCCACGATCACCACCCATCTTTCTCGCTCTGGACAGCTTCCAAAATGAGGATTTGCAAACATAAAAGGAAGAATATTTTGAGTAGCATACCCATGACTGCTGTTTTTCTATTCTTCCTGCTTTATATCAATTCTTAGAAAACAAGATGCAAGAACAAAGGATCTATCCATCCCTCTCTTTTCGATTAGACAGTGCATCACCAGAATCATCCTTATGTACCTGCAAACACGGGCACGTGCATAGGAGTTCAAAATGCAAACACTGCCTTATCTAAATCAAAAGCCCTTGTGCGTGTGTGTGTGTGTGTGTGTGTGTGTGTGTGTGTTGCCAGCCGTTGTTAATTGAGGGCCACCCTAGAATTTATTTGCTGACTGACATGCTTTCCTCCATATTACTGAAATTACTGCAAAATCTAATGCTCTCTTTGGCTTTTCTCAGGAGGTAAACTGTAGGTTAAAGACATAGTAAATACCTATCACCTACCTTCAAAAGCAGAACCACATGCTTTTTTTTTTTTTTTTTTTTTTTTTTTTTTTTTTTTTTCAAACTGTATCCTTCTGTTATTTCAAAGCAATAAAGCCTTCAAGAACCTGCCTGTCCAGGGATTCTTAAGGAAGTTGTTTATCCCAAGAGGGTAAACTGTGTGAGTTACAGTATCTGTTCCAAACCCAGAACAGCTAGTTCTCACAGCACAGAGCTGAAACCTACCGCCTCCTTGTTTCCTTCAACCGCTTGGATATTTACTGTTTTGGTTTATATTGCAGTAATTATTAATACATGCAAATGCATGATGTACCACAGATGCACAGGCTAGATACCAAGCTGGATTTCCTGAGCAGCTATGGCACAGCACAGCAAACAGCAAAGGCAGCACCAGATTTGCCCTTGACTCTCCGGCCACGGTGCCGTTAGGTGAGGCAACTTGTTTTCCTTCATTTTTGGATTGTAACTTTTCATCAAGAGTAAACAGCTTACTGGAAGAAAGTTAGTAACAAAGTCCTAGGGTTCTGTTGCTCCGAAGACAACATTAGTGTCCATGGTGACTTAGGCTAGGACCCAGGAGCCACACATCACTCTTACCTCAAGCAAAGCCTCTACAGTCTGGTCCCTTTTAACCAACGCCCAGTGCTCCGGAGAGCCTAACATCTCTGATGCTCTACCATTACAGTTGTGAATTCGTACATCCAGTCCCAAGTACTTTGAGCACGATTTTAAGCTTAAACCTCAAAAGATAATATGAGGGAAAAAAAAAAATAGTATGAATATTATGCCTTACACAGAAACTCACAAACATGCCAAATCAAATCAGTAGTTCTTTTTTTAAGCTAATGTTTCGAAAGCACCCTCAAAAGCTGCCTTCTCTCAAGCTAAGAGCGAATACAGCCGTAACTGGAGAATGAGACTGCCTGCACAAGGTATGTAAGCACCACAGTGCCATCACACCGAGTGGGGATCACACCCGGACCCAGAACATGTTTCCCTGAGCATTAGATTTCAGACAGTGTAAAACAACATTCAGGAGGCTTACACTTAAGAAAACAGTTTGTTTAGAAGGCCTTAGGATATAGGATCTGCATCCCTATGCATTCTATGTTTATGCTCCTGCATTTTCCAAGTTGGCCCACAAAACCAGAAGGAAGAGGCTAGCCTGTCATCTTGGCTACCATCCAGATGGAGAAGCATGTCACAGTCAAAATCCAACACTCTTACAGCAATATTTGCTTAAAATAAAAGGTAAACTTAAAGACCCAAGGGAAATGACCTGCTTTCTGGTTGAAAATTATGCAAACATCAAAATATCAGCAGAAGCCATTTATGCAGTCACTAAACATACCTTCAACAGAAAATGAATCATCCTTCTGGCATTTTTAAGCCCCCAGAGAAATAATATTTGCATGCCAAGTAAGTAGCCAAAAAAAAAAAAAAAAAAAAAAAAAAAAAAAAAAAAAAAAAACACAAAACTGCACACATATACTTAACCTGCATCTACAAAGAAGAGAGAGAAAAGGGCTGCTATTACCGTGAACATCAAAAGGACTCCTAGTTACAGTAAGTTCAGTTCACTTAATGCTCTTTACCCAAGCCCTCTGCTTCCAACACTTTGCATCCCATCACATCTCCTAAGATTTTGAACCTGTTCTCAACGCACTCAAAGGAGAAACTAGGCAGATTTTCTTGGGCATTTACCTTACTGATACAATGGAACTTTAGAAAGACACTGTCAACGAGAAAAACAATCGACCATACAGCCGCCTAGAACACTTGCAACGCTCTTCAACGCGCTGGCCACACCTGAGAGGGCAACACGAAATTGCATCCTGAACAAGTTTCATGGTTCGTCCCCACCACGCCCACCAATTCCTATCCTTCGAAACTCAGAATATTACACTGAAGGCCAAATACCTGCATGAGAGGAAATTAATTTTTCAGGAAGTTTTCATTCATTCCCTACAGACATTCCGCCGCAGTGAACATGCCCTGACGAAGGGTGCGTGCGTGTGGCCCCAGCGCTCCCCTGTGCCGGATAGGGTGCAACTTGCTCGGCCCTAGGGGCTGCGCGGTGCCGGGCAGAGCGACACCCACCCCGAGGGAAGCGCCGCTTCGGGCGGAGGAAGGAGACAGATACTACCCTGGCCGGGCTCTCGGATCCCCAGCAGCTCGTCCCGGGGGGCCGCGGACGAGAGGAGGCCCCTCCGGCGATGGCCAGCGTCTGCACGCTATGGAAGAGCAGCAGCGGCTCCCGAGGTCTCCTCCCCAAGAACAGTTCCCCCACTTCCTCCCAAGTCGGCGTTCCGGGCTCCGGGGCGAACGCACCCCCGCAGGCCGAGCAGCCCCGCAAAGCCGCGGCGCCCGCAACAGGTCCCGGGCAGCGGATGAAACTTACAGCAGAGGCGACCGGCGTCGGCGCACAACCAGATGGGTTTTCGCCTAGGTCACCAGGCAGGAGGAGACGAGGCGGACGTCTCAGCCCCGGGGAGCGGCGGCGACAACCCGGGCGAAAGGAGCGCGCATGGGGCGCCAGCCGGGAAGAGGACAGCGCCTCGCGACTCCCACGCCGCGGCCTCTGCCCGCGACCCGCGGAGCGTCTCCGGGAGCGCGTCTCGGGAAGGGGGAGCGAGCCTGCGGCTGCCGGCGCCGCGCGAGGAGGCGGGCAGTGCACTCCGGGGAGGGAGCGAGGAAGCGCTGTGCGCGCCGGCGGCCGCCTGGCGTCTGGACCCGGTCTCCGCAGCGCCACCGCCGCGCCGCCTCCACTCTGGCTGCCCAAGCAGTCTGCGCCCAGCAGCCGCGCGGCGGGCTATAAGCGGCGCGGCGCGGCGGGGCGGGGAGGAGAAGGGAGGGGAGGGAGGAGAGGGCGCGGGTGCGGAGTGACACCAGGGGAAGGAGGGAGGAAGCGCGTGAAGGCCGCCCGCCGAGGAGGAGGAGGAGGAGGAGGAGGAGGAGGAAGGGGAGGAGGAGGCGACGGCGAGGAGCTGGAGAAGAGCGTGTCGGGGGAGTTAATCGAGAGAGGAAGCGGGGGAGGGGGGGAGGCTGCGGAGAGTAGAGAAAGACAAAGCGGACACGGTGCCTGAGCCACTAGCAGCTGCAACCCTCAGGGACCGAGAGTAGCAGAAGTTTGGCCGGGTCGGAGTGTCTGCGCCTCTCTGGCCCAGCCCGGTGAATGGATAGCCCCGGAGCTGAGGGACCCTGGGCAGGGGAGGCACCCGGCTGTGCGCTCCGCGAAGCCGGAGCCCGCGAGATGCTCAGGAAAGGTGGCGAGGGGCAGGCAAGGTGCCCGGCGCACGCGCACTGCGTGGGACACCTGGAGCGAGGGCAGTGGCGAGGGCAGGGGCACAAGTTTGGCCACTCCGGGGACACTGCAGGTCGGCCAAAGGCGGCCCGTGGGGTTTCTCGCTGGCAAGGGGCAGACAGACTCGAGCCCCTGGCGTTTCCCCTGTGCCCCGCCGCCCCACCGCCCCACCCCGGCGGGTGCGGCACCCGCGGCCGGACTCTGCCCCACGCTGCGGGGAGCAGCAGCAGCCGCAGTCGGGCGCTGTCCCGCGGGGCGCGCACCACGTGCTCCGCAGCCAATCGCCGCCGCCGCTTGATTCAAAGCGAGCTGCTCAAAGGAGCGGCCACGCCGCCCCCTCTCCCTGGCGATAGAGCCGAAATCGCCCTTTCGGGCTGGGCCCTTCCTGTCTTTTATCGCTCCGTTGTGTTTAGCTTGGAGCTCGGCAAAGAAATGACCCAGCGCGCCTGTTTGAAGCGCCGCGTGCCAGGAGGAAGGAAGGCGGTTCGAAAACTCATCTCGCGTGGCGATCGCCCTTTGCGAAATCCATTTCTGATCTTTGCACTAAGGACTGGTTTTCCAGCGGGAGCTAAAGCTCGTGTTTGGATTTTATTAGGTATTTGGAATACAATCTATGAATGAACTGTAGCGATTACCTGTCCAGCCACCTCGTTTTGCACGTTGGGAAAGTGGGGCCCAGGGTGATGTGAATTGTCCAGCTCGAGGTCCCACGGCCACTTAGCAGTGGCCTCGCTCTGCAGCTCGAGTAAGGATCCACCGAGCAAGGGTTTTCTCCCCTCTCCGCCCCCCCCCCCCAGCTTTCCTCTAAACACTAGATGCAGAAATGGTTTACACAGGCTGAGGAGGCCCCACCTAGAGCTCCTGGTGTCCAGGAGCTTGCCTGAACCAAGACTCTGTCGGTTCTTTATTCTAATCCACACTTTTCTGTACCCCGGTCCCTGCCGGTCTGCGCTGAGAAATTTTGCTCCTTGCATGCAAGGAAAGACAGTGCCCTCTGAAGTCCTTTGTTAGCATTAACTCGCCAGCCTCACCAGGAGCCTTTCCGAGTCTGTTTCATAGTTTAATTCTTTATGCGGGGCCTCAGCTCCAGACTGCTTCACAAAGCCAGGGACAGCTGGATCAGCTCATGGTAAGAGCCACGTGCAGCGACTCTGGGGTTGGCCAGGTGAAGAGCCGACCCTGTTCCTGAAGGAGAGGTGGATAAAATCAGGCCGGACCAGAGAGAGTGTAGACACACACCAGAGGCAGGTGCTGAAAAGAGGCGAAGTGGCTATGTGCAGCTCTAGCACCCCCCCGCTTTTAAAAACACGTTTCTGTAGCCTGTGGAGAGGTGTGGAGGAAGTCCATCAGGGCAGCCGCAAAGGCACCTTCTAGAAGCGTTTTGTCTGTCTGGGTCGTGGGCTCAAAGTAGGCACGCTGGTTTGAAGAGCCAGATGCAACGTCTTCCTTTGGGGGAATCGTTCTGTTTAAACTGAGAGGTTAACACTTTTTCTCATTAAGGAGAAGTATCTGTTTCTTACTTCAGTTACTTACCCAATCTACGCCTAGCTGATCTTGCCTAGAAATATAAAACATGTGCATAGCTCAGTTGGTTGGCTGGGGATTTTGTCCCAGGAAGCCACTGAGTTGGGAACAGCCAATCTGTTTCTGTTGTATCTTCACCACCTGGAAACTGCAGTGTCCTTAACCGACGGGACAGCAGCATTTATCTCTCTTTGCACAAAACTCTGCTAAGCAGGCAGGGATGCTGTGGACATCGTGTCATCATCCACCAATGCCATTTTCCTGGTCTCTTCAACCTAATGTTGCCGTCCTCCTAGGCTGCAAGAAAAGAGAAGGGAAAAAATGTCGTAGCTTTAGGAAATCTTGAAATGTGTTCAGTGACCATAGGCATTTGCTTCATCTGCCTCAGGGAGATAAGCAACATGAGGCAGGGGAAAGAAATGAGCTCACGGAGGGCATAAAAGTGAAAGACACGTTCCTGCTGAGAGATAGAGGAACTAAACTTGCATCTGGGGGAAAATGTGTGTGCCTTCAATGACCTCCTACAAACTGCACTGGTTTGCTTGAACCACTGTATCAAAAGTTTTCAGGCCTGTGTGCAGTTTCTAGTGTTTATTTCACAGCTGAGAGCGATTTGCAAGTTAGCATATTTCCGCTCATAGCAACACAAATTGTCCTTACTCCAGCCAATCCTAAAGGTAATCCTTATCACTTCCCTCACAGGACGAGAAGGTGAGCAAATCTTGTGTCTGTACAGGAAGAACTCTCTAGACAGGCCTGTGATCAAACTGGACAACCACAAACGTGGTAGCTATCTGAGGCATAAACAACTCAGGAAATGCTATGGATCCGTGTCATAAAATGGCCACCACCTGACCCAAGATGTTAGGCCAGTCCCAAAGGCCCCCGGGAGCTGGTCTTTGCCTCTGCCTTGTGACACCAAACCAAGGTCTCATTTTTAATGCTATTAAGAAGCTGTGCCCAAGGCTTTGGCCTTGTTATCTCCCTTAACAACGTTATTCTGTTAGGCTGCAAAATAAGCAGCATGGGGTTAAATGTATTAGCTGCCTTCAAACCTAATTTATCTTCATTCCTTCCTAATTTACACTCGGGCTGAATTAATGAGAATGATTTAATTAACACAGTGAGACCACGGTACCAGGGACAGGACAGCTCAGGGGATTAGACCAAACAGTGGGCTATGCAGCTGCCATCCTGCCTCCTGTGGTCCCCCAAAGCCCCGCCCGAATTTCAGACGTGTCCCCTGCCAGGCTTCCCAAAGTGTCTTCTTTGTTCTTCGGTTCACTTCCTGAATCTTCCTGTGTGGAAAATGGCACTGCTTTCCTTCCTCGTATAATTTCCAAGACGGGCTCCAGGGCTGTGGCCTGTAGAATCCGTGTGGCAGAGGGGCCAGCTGCTCACCAAAGCCTTGTGTTCTTCCTCCCTA